GCCTGGTTAAATGAATAGGTGTGTCAAAATGTTTGACTGGTAGTGTGTATGTATAGCTTTCAACTTGAACTTTGACATTGATGTCTGCAAAGAATGGTGTCAGCTCAACTGACAAAATCCAACGACATCTGTTTCTATTTTTAAGATTCCCATTCTTTTTTCCCTCAGGCCCAACAGCTCACAGCACCTATAACAAGTGCTTCCAAGCTGCAGACCCAGAAGCATCAGCTCTATCTTCTTAAGGATGGAGAGAGCAGCGGGTACATCTCATATCCCTTCCTCAGCTTTCACTTATTATTCAGCTTCTCTGTTTCTCTCTGGATTGACTGAGTTGGTGTTTTCCAGCGGGACCTGGTCAGATGAGTCATGTTGAAATGACAAATCATGTACTGTAGCATTGAGACATAAAAGACACTGTTTTTAATGCATATCACAGGAGCTCACCTCAGTAGATATTTGTATTACTCATTGCCAAGTCAAACTAACCCCTATTCCTGTCTCCTAACTGCAGGGGACGTGGTGTGGTTGTGGGATTTCTGAAGGTTGGCTACAAGAAGTTATTTTTGCTGGTGAGTCACTTATATTTTTTTAAATTTCCTTTTAACGTCTTTCCTTTCGGCCTTGCTGTGATCTGTATTTGACTTTCTGAAAGGCTTTTCAGGTATGCTTGCTATATTTCCTCCACAGGACCGGCAGGGTGTGCACGTAGAGGCAGAACCACTCTGTGTTTTGGATTTTTACATAGCAGAGAACCTGCAGCGAAATGGCTATGGGCTTGAGCTATTTAACTTCATGCTACAGGTAGAGAATACTTTAGGAATCCCTGAAACCATCTGAAACATCAGACCTTTCACAAAAAGAGCTAAAAACTGGAATGATGTGATAGTGGTACCTAAAATGATGACACTAGTATTGCAGGTCATTGCTGTGTGTGTTTATTGGTAATTGCATGTTTTTGTTTCTCTGTCTTTCTCCATCTCCCACCTGTAGCACAAGAATTTAGAGCCAGTGCTGATGGCTTATGACAGGCCTTCACCTAAATTCCTGTCTTTCCTGGCAAAGCATTACTGCCTCACGCAGAGTGTTCCTCAGGTACGGGCTGCACTTCACACAGTCATTACACTTTTTTAAAGCAAATCTTTATTACCTCTGGAGAGCAAAA